TTCCCTATGTATTTCTTCAAAGTTAAATGCAAGCTCTGAAAGCAATTCATCCTGCTTAGCATGTTTTCCAGTTGGTGCCCTAGGGATTAATGCTAGTATGACTCATTCACATAATTGGGCTTCTTGGTGCTTTTCCTCACACTGAAGGTTTCTACTCCAAACATATAAGAAAATAAGAAACTGAGAAATGATCATCTGCAGCAAAAAGTTTAGAAAGGCAAATGGCTCAGCTTTGATAACTCTAAATGAAACTGTTTGCTCTTGTTATAATGGTCATCATGTCATGTTTTTACTGATAGCCTCGACTCCTGTGTGACTGCTGTAAATTCCTACCTTTTTTTGTGTGTGAAGTTTTAAATTTGTGTTATGATTAGAATGCTTCTGTGGATCAGATTTAGCAATGGAGTTTGGGTACTGGTAATCAGTAAGCTTTTGATTTTCAGCAGGTTCAGGAATTTATTTACCTTACATGAGGGGAAAATAATTCTAATATTCTTTCTCATAAACTTTTGCCTCTAAGATCAAAGCAAAGAGCTCATTTTCCTGCTTTGCAGCTGTACTGGATATTGTGCTGTGCTTCTCTGATTTTTTTTTTTTCCCCTCCCCCACTCCAGCTGTGGAAGAATGAGTAATGCTGCCAAAATTTACGTCTGCTTCAGGGTGCTTGGTTTAATGGGGACTTCATCTTTTTGGTATTTTTACAGAGGCTTGTGTGGGCTTGAAAGCTGTTTAATGCTAAAAATTGGCAACAGCTACGAAAAGAAACTGAGGCACCCACCTCTTGGTTGGCTGAGTTGTGTGTGTGGAGTGTGTGCAGAGCTTTGCTGTGAAGTGTGTAGAGTCCTTGTGTGGGGGCTTCAGGTACCTTGGTGTGGCAGTTAGCAGCTACGGTGTAATGTGCAGAGGTGTGATCTGGCCAGAGCTTGTGAGTGCAAAGCCAGGAGTCACCCTAGGCCCTTCGGTGAACTGCACCTATTCAGCACTGGTCTCTGTCTGCGGACAGGTGTCAGCCGTGACCCCCGGCAGAGCATGGACTAATCCCTGCAGCTGTCTTCAAGGGCTTTACAGATAGATTCAAGGTGGAGGTGGTGCATTCCTTCTTCCCCCTCTAGCCCAATAGAAGGGTGGATCTTATGTCTTGCGTCTTGCAGTTAGAGACAATGATTTAATACCTTCTTTGGCTTGAGTGGATTCAGCTTTGTATCCCTTGGGCAGTGCAGGAACTCTCCTTAGACTTGGTTGCTTGGGATAGTACTTGTTCCATGGAGGCAATGGGTAGAGCAGGGAACAGTGGAAAAACTATCTGAGTAAAATCCTTGGAAGAGGGACCAAAACCTGGTACTCTTTGGTCATGTTCCTTCTTGTAAGTGTATGCCGCTACCCTGGAGTCTCAGACCAGGTGTGAGTTAAATATTGACTGAAAGAAGTTTTATAGGATTGTCTGTTGTTGTTTCCACCTCAAATACTACTAATTGGGTAGAACTGCAGTTTGTTCTCTGCTCCAAGGCAAAATGACATTTCATACACTCCAGATAGATAAAATGTAGATTGGACAGAATAGCAATGAGTTTAACTCAAATCTGCTCAATAAAACTTTCAAGTTCTACTAGCTCATAAGTATTTTAAAATAGAAAAAAGAATCACTTCCACATTCTCCTGTACAAGACAGGGAGTTAACTAGAGTCCAGCAAAGGGCCAGAAAGATGATTAAGGGACCGGGGCCTCTTTCATGCGAGGTTCTGAGAACTGAGACTGTTCTGCCTGGAAAAGAGAAGGCTCAGTGGAGAACATTAATATTTATAAATACCTGACGTGAAGATGGAAAGAACACAGAGACGGGCTGTTCTGAGTGGTGCCCTATGGCTGGACAAGAAGCAATGGACACAAACTGAAACGTGTGAAACTACACCTAAACATAAAACTCTGAGGACAGATGAATACTGGAATATGTTGCCCGGAGAGGTTTTAGTCTCTGTCCTTGGAGGTAGACAAGAGATGCCTTCCAACCTCAACTGTTCTGTGATTCAGGGTATTGCTTTAAGACCCTTTAATATGGATATGCCAACTGCTCAAAAGCTGAGAGATGAAGTTGGTATTTATCTTTAGCCACTTAAAAATCTGTATAAGGGGTTAGGTAAAACATATCAACAATACCTATGAGGATTTGAATGTATGATCTCACTGAAATTCCCTATTTTAAAATGTTTGGCTCATAAATCATCTGGCAAATGCTTTTGAATGTCTTGGACTACTATTGAGTCAAACAGCAATGCTCTCCTGTATCAGTGTTTTAATTGGGTTAAAAATGTCACCAGCTTTGTCTTGTGTGGTGTAGCTCTGTGTGGGAAAACAGGTTTAGCTGCACTTACAGGACTTGAATTAGGTGATAATAGCTCCTGGTACTTCTAGGAAGGGAGCATTTGTTTAACATGATCTTGCTTTACTCGCCAACTGCAAAGCTGTTGTGGAGTTGAAACTGTCTGTTATTTCCATAAGTGACTGCTATGATGCCCTCTTGTCTTCTGCTGTGACGTATAACCTGGGTGCTGCATGTTGCCTAGCAGCACAGTTCTTGTGAAGAGGAAGAAAAAACCAAAAAGGATACTTGCTGATACTTTCAACATAAGGTTGCCTTTAGCTGACTTGGAGTCTCTTTGCAGAGTGAGACACTGTTCCTTTTCAGCATCATGTTTTACATTAGCCTTCAGTTCACAGTACTATGAATATACTTAAATGTTGATATTCCTGTCCTTCACACTCAATTTAAAAAAAAAAAATCTGTTTTCAGACCTTTCTGCTGTATTGAGTAACTTAAGAAAATTTATTTGTAAGGCAGGTTTTCTTCTTTCCTGGGAGTCCTTATGGACTGAGGAATGATGCAAGTCTGTGCAGTGTCTTCCTCTTGCTGACTTCTGAGGTTCATCCCTACTGAGAAGCAGATATTAAGAAATCTTGAGCAGAACTGCCACTAAGCTTAACCTTCATAGCTCAAGATGAATCTTAAGCAGTGATCCTAACTACTGCAGAGTGCATGATATCCTATACTCACAGTTCTGTAAGATTCTTTTAAAGCTTTTAAATAAGAAAATGCTAACAGTGGGCCCAATGTACAAAAAGCTCTTATCAGGATGAATATTGCAGCTTACACCCAGAACATGGTTTTAAACCCACTGATTTTAGCCTTTTTACATACATCATGAAATTCTTACCTGCATATGGGCAAGCTAACACTGAGGCATGTCTGTGCCTGGCTCTTGGCTCTGTCATGTAATCCATCCATTTCCATTATACAGCTGCCAGGCTGGGAGTTGTTCCATTTTGTGCATAAATAGCACTCCAAATACAAATCCAGGATCCTGTTCCCCCAGATGGTGGAAGGCCTAGGCTTAGCTCTCATGCCTGAGAGAATCTAATATTGTACCTTTCCAGGCTACAGAATTTTATGAGACAATAGGAAAACAATGGAGGTGGAGCTGAAAGGATTCCAGGCTATATTAAAAATTCACTAATGTGCTAGGAAATCTGTTCTGAACTTAAAAAGTGTCCCTCATGCAACACGCAGAAGACAGTTATCTTATTCTTTTAGCTTACCATCAGGGCACATTCATGTTAGAGAACTTTGTTAAAGGCTTTGTTCTTTTCTAGTTAGAAAAGCAGCTGCATAACATACAGGCAAACTGTATCTTGTCTTGACTACTTCAAGGTAAGCTTCTAGTGTGAACTTCATGCAAGAAACTGCAATTGAAATATAATTGCATAAAAATACCAATGTATTTATCACAAACTTGGAAACTGGCACAGAAATTTCAGCATGCAAGTGCACAATCAAGGGACAGTTATTCATGAAAATAGCTATTCAGGTGACTACGAAAGGAAAAAAACTGCTTTAAAGAGCTTGGGTTTTTTTTTCTGTATGTATTTTTGGGACTTCAGGAAAAAATACTTTGTAAATTACATAGCTGACATTATATGTTTAAAGAAAAATGCAAACTACCGAGAAGGCTACTGAAGTTTGATACCCATCGATCTTTATTCATACTGGCCCAATTACTTTTTAAAACACCATGAAGTAGATACACACTGCCATCTAGTGAGCATCTCTAACATAGCTGCAGTTTGATTTCTGAGGAGAGGAAAATGTGTTGCTTGGAGCAAGTAATTTAATACAGTACAAAACATATACAGACTTAAAAATGCTGCACTGAATGCTTTGTCAATTGTATATTTTATAATAGAGATACACAGCAAAGCTAAAGTATTTTATTAATAATTTATTGTCAATAAGAAAGACTGGCTAATGGTAATTTTCAGTAAAAACCTTTACAAGACCATTGGATCACAAATATACAGACACTATAAAAACTGTGTCATGGTGGTTTTGGTTCTAAACTGGTATGTAGAGGGTCCCCAACACACTTTCCAAGAAGCGAAAAAACGTTTACAGTTCTAAAATACAGCAACCCATTTAAGACATTTCCATGTAGCTGACCCAGAAAAATATCAGACCTAACCTATGTACAATTGGAATTGTGTGAATATATTGAATTTTTTATAACAAAATGTCAAACCTTAGTTTTCGGGGGAATACATACAGTGACGCCTTGATTATAATAAGTCAGGGTGCTAGCTTTTAATGGCACACTAACACCACTAGTTTCAGTGGAAAACAAATTCACAAAATATCTACAAAATCTAGTTAAAACTATTAAAATCAAAACTGTACATAAAATTTACAAAAAGGAGAAAATTAATTGCATTAGAACTATATAAATATATGCATCATGCTAACATGGAGAAGTGGTATGTGATTTTTTTTTTTAACATAGACAATGTAAGTACAAAAAGGATGTTCAGATGGCACAGCCAATGCAAATCTTGGAATTGTCCAATTACAGTAGGTCAGGAAATGGAAATAGGCTGATTTAGTAAAAGGAACTGCATGATCCAATGCTGCCATGCCAGTTTAGCTCACCGAAACAAAAGCATTCACTGTGTCTGGGAAAAAGAAAAAAATTAAAAAGCTCTTGAAAGTTGTTGATAAAGTTTGTTAGAGTCCAGGCACTTTTGTTGAGTGTGTCAGACTTCTGTATGTTGCTGGGAATCAAGTGGAGGAATTTTCACATCTTCAAAATGACCATCATCTCCACTCTCATAGTCACTCATCATGACTTCAGACTCCATTTCACAGCATGCTGACACATCAGAGCATGAAGCCGTGGAAGCATACACAGACATGGACATGTTGTCTACAGTGGGTGCTTCAAAGTCTCTATTGTACCCTAATGTGTAAGGAGCATAAGGTTCTCTGTAACTGCCGTTGACACCACTGGTTGTGGTCTGAGGTTCTGACATGTCTGCAGGATAGTGATGGGGAAGGTACTGATTAAGGTTAAATCTCTGCCTGCTTCTTGTAGAAGAACCCAAGCTACCTATGGCTGGCATGTCTCTGGGTGGCTGTATTGACTCGAACTGGTCGCTGTATTCTGGTGGTAACGGTGGAAGCTCATCAGGTGCAGGGAAGTCATCAGGTGGAGGTGGAAAATCACTTTCTATGTCATAACCGCCAGGGTAATAGTCTGTATCGATGGCATTTGGATCCGTGTAGAGGGGAGCTGACTCCTCAACCACCTCGTAATTTGGATACTCTTGGATACCTGGCAACTGAACACTTGGCATCCAGTCTGATGTATCCCAGTGATAACCTGAAAAGTTAATTTTTTTTTAAGAAAAGTAGTATTAGTATCTTGTCTTCAAGTCAGTCTGAACTGAGAAGTCAACATACGTATTACGACAATGCAATCATTGTGATTAGGACACTACTTGTTAATTAGAGAGCAGTTTGCCCCAGTTCCACAGAAGACATTCAACACAACACAACTTTACATTATGCCATGCATTAGATATTGCGTTATTCACACTTGAACTTTTACATTTTCTCAGACATCTCACCTAACATAGGAAGAGCTGTAGGTCACCTATGGAATGTGCTGTCACAATACATAATGGTATAGAATTGTTCTGTATAGCAAAGAACCAACAGCCTCCCTGGTTCAGCTAAATTCTTTTATCAATTGTTGTTGAGTAATTACAGCTAGGGTGACAACAGCTGCCTGTTTTTCTTAAGAATATATTTAATACATATAAAACCATGCTTTTCTTACATAAAAGTAGTAATTTATAATTGGTAAAGTATCTAGACCATTTAAAACTACTTTACCCCTTAACTGAACGGTAAAGTTAATTTCACAAAAATGCTGTTAGCTCTGCAGTAACTGCCACGACCCTGATAAAAATCTTTGACAATTAGTAAAGACATTCCACATTCAAATACAAGAACAAAACAGGAAAATCAAGCTTAATCATGCATAAATGACCGAACATGATCCTCTCTTGCAAACTTCCCTTGAATAAGTTTATATTCCTCTGCTGAAAACGAGATGTAAACCTAATCTCATTAAAAAATAATTGTTTTTCTCTTCTGAACACCAAAAAAGGAAAATAATACAGAGCTGTAATAAGGTGCAAATCTAGTAAAGAGTAATCACTGCAGACAAATGCACAGCAAGCAACTGACAGTAAGTCTGTGTTAAAACCAAGTATTAACAGAAATATTCTGGTGAACATCAATGAACTGCATGCAGAAGTCACCTCTTGAATTGCTGAGGTCAGGAACAGCAAAAGATTCTTTAGGTGGCAGAATGAGAAGAAAAAGGAGAAAACATCTGTAGTTAGGAATCAAATAGTAGAACCAACGTGAAGACAAACAATGACTGTCACTATGATGTTCATGCTGCTTTTGTCCAGTTTACTTAGCAGTACTACAGTTGGCATTTTTTTTTCTCCTGGGCTCCTTCATTGTTAGACTTGAACTGTAGAATAGCTACTGAGTTAATGTACAGCCCACCTGGGACACGGCTGTGCAGTGGCAAAATCTGCAGCCTGTAGTTTGCCGAAATCCTTATATCAGTAGATTAAGGACTTCTGCTAAAAAGGGTTACAAGACCTGGTCTGATTTTTTTCTCTCCTTGTATCTCCCCTTGTTTTCTGATACAGGGCTGCATCTATTAGGGCTTATACTTTCAAGTATCTCATGCAAAGATGGGAACTCCCCCTTTAGTACCTAGCTTCCATACACTCTGCACTGGGAGACCTGCCTCCCTTTGTACAGCAATCCCAACAATTCATGCTCAGCAGAGAACTCTCCAGTGTTATCTGACAAATTTTAAACCTTTCTCTCTTCAGGAATATATATTACCTATTCAGGTCTGTAGGCGATGCTTATCCTAATACGAGAATCTTCTCCTAAGAACTGATATTTTTTTCTGTTCTTGGAAGACTGGAGGGGCAGAGTTTGACTCTTGGGGGTGTGGGTGTGTCTGTGTCTGGGTTTTTTTTTAAGCTTGTCTAGCCCAGACAAGAAAAATACTGTCCACACTACAGGAGAAGGTTCTGACCACTAGTCTACTTACTTAGAAGATGACATTCTGCATTTTTCTAGGGAAACTGGGTACAAAACTAAAGCCCATAGACAGACTGTGGCCTTATGATTTAGAGCACTTTTACCAAGGAATGGTGAGATCTTGGTACTGTCCTCTTCTTCTGAGGCAAAGACCCTTTAACATAAAGTACAGAAACACAAACTAGAACCTGATGTGTTCATCTTTCTAGGTGACAATCTGCTAGATCGGAGCTATATTTCTTCTTGCACTCAGCATTGTTGATTTGCATGGAGCTACAACCTTCCTTGTTGGAAGGAGGAGCAGTGTGGAGAATGCAGACCTACAACTGTGCTAGGATGAGACTAGCTTTCAGGATACCTCTTGGACAGAACCACTTGGGGAGACTAAAGGAAGAGACCATCTGTCCCAGAACTTGACCCTGCTGAAGGCTTGAGCAAGGATCTCTGCTGCTCAAACTGGCACCCTCCTGAGGATGCTCAAAAGCAGAACTCTTTACCTAAGATGCCTTGAAGGAAGGAATGCTTAATAAGAGTAGAAACTTCCAAGCATTAGGAAGTAGCTGAGCAGGACATCTTTAATCTCTCTATGAATATTCTGCAATGCATAAAATATTTGTATTTATCTTACAGTGATACTAAACCACCAAGCAATACTTTGAACTTTGACTTGAGAACTATATCCATCATTTTTAGTTTCTACCAATTAAAATCTCAGAGACAATCTGAATAAATTATTTAATACCTCCCCTGATAGATTTTGCCTTTTCTAGTCTTATCATTCTCCCTTTCATAAGTACCGCACATTACAGTGTTTTATCACTGAGGACTATGGTCTATAGGTATACATTAATGAAATACTCTGATGTAATTAGAAGTCTTTACGTTTGTCTACTTTTTTTGTGTGGCTGCATATATTAGTCAGGATGTACTTCAAATAACAAACCAAAGAGAATCTTTAGCTACTATAATTAATTTTATGCCCTTAAAATGGCTTCATTTTAAGTAGGGCTTAATGAAACATTAGGGTTTCCTACTCTGTATTAAGAAATAGGAAACATACACTGTGGATGTTATTTCAGAAGTAACCTCTGCAGGCTCATGGTCATGGAGTGAATTACTTGCATATTACTGGAACTTTAAGGATTTTTAAGTCAATTAGAACAACAGTTAGCATTTGTATACGCTCACTGGCACCTTTATTACTACTATTATTTTGTGTTTTCCAGAGTGGTCAGTTCTTAAATGTTAGCAGAAAAGAAATAAAATTCCATTGAAAAGGTCTACTTCACCTCTTTCTAACTTCCAAACACCTACTACACACACACATACAAAAATATATGTGTGAGTACATATGTACACCCAAATACACCTTTTAGATACTGATGTAAGGCTGGGTAGTAAGTAACTATTTAAACTGATAGGGATGTGTATGCCTGTACACCTCAACCGCATACTTTAGAAATCTGCTAAAGAGACAGATTGATCTGAAGACCAGGGAAGCGAGTACTGATACCAGACTACTTCCATTCTGCTCAGCTGGAGAAGGTGCCCACAGATGTGGGTGGGAGAAGAAAAGGAAGTGGGGACTGCTGCTTTTTCATCTGCAGTAGTGTACGTAATTGCCTTTGATGCTGTCTCAATTCTGCAGGGAGCTTTAGTATGAATATTTTCAGAAGAGAGTAAGCACCAAGATCTTTTTATGCCAATACTTCCCCCCCGCCAAGAAATCACGCTTTGAAACCTGTCCACAGGGTAGCTACAGCATACACATGAAAATATTAACAGATATACAATATAAATATATTCTTTGCTAAAACTTATCAGAAAGTACAAGTAAATAATATTTTATAACTCCCATCTTCTAAGGCTACATTACTAGAAGTCAAACGTGCATTATTCTGCCAAAGCAGTAAATAAGTATGAAAACATGTATATACCTTCTTTTTCCACCGAGTCAACAACAGCATTGACAAGGTGTATTACAGTCACTACGGAAGCTTGTAAAAGGTATAAAAGGAGCAAATTAAAACAAACCTATAGTTAGTATCACAGCATACAGATATACAAAAAACACTGTAAAATTGCAGTTCATTACTATTTTATAGAGCAAGATTATTGGTGTACATATACCTTTACTCTCTATCTAGAAAGCAGTTGCATATAATACATAAAATAGATCTCTAAACCTAAATTTTCTTCTTGATAAACATGGAAAAGTACTTGTAACTACTCCTGAAGCAAATTCTGCATGAGCACAAAGCTACTTTAGTTGTGACAGAATTTCTGAAATGTTGCCTAAACGTAACATTTGCATAATACTTCATCTAGACAGCAATAAACTAGGCTTTTCTAAAGGCTTGTGTTGGGTGAATTAAGGAATATTGCATAAGGCTTCCCCTTTTAGACTGCAAACTACATTTTTCCCCCTGCTCAGTGGAAGACGAGGGGAAGAAATTGTCACTGAAATGAACTAAAATGCTAGAATTTGAAAAATATCTACTGAAAACTTCTGTTGCCGACCTACTTAAGTTGTGTGTGAACAGTGGTATCACAGTAGGAATACCAAATTCAGGTTGTGACGTTCTTATTTAAAAACAACCAGAATGAATGTATTTTTAACATCTTCCCTCTCCCAAGATACTTTTGGAAGGGAGAAGGATTTACTCTTTTAGGGTAGGATGAGGTAAACCATGCAATTTGTTTGCATGGCTCAGGGATTAAATTTCAAACTAAAATTCAGAATCTACCAAAAAGGAAGGAAGGAACAATATCTATGATGCTACAGCTATTTCTTTTAAAATTATGTATTAATGAGTAATCAATGCATGACAAGAAATGTGAGTAAGAATATATGAAATATATGGGATGGAGAGGGAGGGAGAACAACATGTACTGCACAACACTTAATACCACAGGAAAAAAGTTGAAAGTTGACATCAGGTCTACTGATAAAATGATGAGTACTGTAAGCATACCATTTTACTTTCACCAATCATTAACACAGATGTTTCTTTTCATGCTGTTAAGAAAAATCACTCTACTTCATTGAGAAGCAGAATATTTTTTATTCCTAAGCTAAAGGAATTTAAAATTCTTTTTACTATACACAGATAAAAGCAGAAATTGGAATAAGGAGTCAAAACACCTTAACTTAGTGAATTAAGTTATTAGACAACTGTGGCTTTGCCCAATCAGTCTGAAATGTTTCTGAATACATAGATGCATTCATATCAACTGTAAAAGCATCTGTCATCACAAATGGAAAAGTAAAAGACTTCCAATTAATAACAATAAACCTCACAAATACGTATGCTGATTATAGTTTGATGGACTGGAGTTGTGATCAAACTATTTCTATTTTTATATTGGCTTTTTTCAATGTATGAATTTTTTTATGGATGCATTTTAATCATGGTGAAAGCCAAATATACTGTTCTACTATAACAAAATTCCTTTTTGTGCAGCTTCCTTCATTACTAAAGTAATCAAACTTACAAGCAGTCCCTTAAACTCTGCTCTCACTCAGAACTGATCTGATCCATATGGGAGCTGAGGTCGCAGCAAGAAAAAGAGAAGGAAACAAATGAAACTGTAACACCAGAAAGCTTTTTACTGAGAGCTGAACGTCAAAGCGAAAGTTATATTTGTGCAGAGGCCATTTTTTAAATTCACTGTATTCTTGTATAAGGTGGTAACTAATGATTACGTAGAAGAGTTTCTCAAATTTGAACACGCTTTTAACACCTTTTAAACACAAGGCTCTGAACACCTTGTGCTGCATTTTCACTGTTAATATTCTAACAGCAGAATGATTATATATAATTTTAAGGTAGAGTAATTAACACAAGGTGTAAGATAGGCAAAATACTTTTAAAAAATTAACATATCTGGGTATTAACATAGGTAAATACAGATATATATTAAATAAGCTATTATTTAATATATATTCAATATATGTAAGTCCTATTGATCCTAAGAGATATAGATGTAAAGACAGAACAAATGAATATAAGTGGCAGTACAGAATTTTTGTATTTTACGTACCGTTGTCATCACATGATTCAGACTGGAAGGAGCTGAGAGACTGGACCTCAGACATGCTTTCTCTAGCACTATAAGGATGGGAGTTCTTTTCATCCAGAGGCTTTTTTGAAAGGCAGGGGTCAAGATCTACTACTTTAGCTGAAAGAAAGAGTTTCAAGTGAGACGATTAATAGATTCTAGATAAAAGAGTCAATAAAATTTAAGGCTGAGATCTACACATTTTTACAAAACTTAATAGAGCATGAAGCCCGGTCAGACTCAAAACCCAGTAAAGTCATAATGCCTTTTGTACTCTAACAGGCATAGACAGAGACTTTGCACTCATATTAAAATTGTACCAGCACACACCTTTAACAGAAAAGTAATAAAATAGGGACATTTCTTACTGTCATAGTCAAAATCCCAGCTGGGTTTCTGTATTGAATCGCTGTCTGAAGGAGAGTTGGAGGGAGGTGGAGGTGGCAAATTTGGTGCTACGCTGCAAACAGCTACAGCTTTCCGGTGACCATGTACAGAATCTGGGTTAAAAGTACTAAACTCTGGGTGCTCAGGGATAGCAGACCCCTCAAAAGAATTCCTGTCCAGATTGTTCCTGGAGTCGCTTGGAATGCTTGGAGTGTACGAAATGGGACGAACAGGAACCTGTGGTGGGATGTCAGAATAAATGTTCTTATTCAATTTTGCATCAAAATAAGGTCTTTGTAAGAAAGCTGTTGTAGCTCCTAGTTGCTTGTCTTCAGGTTCTGGCTGGTGCTTCTTCTTTCTACTAATCACTTTGCGGCAAACAACAAAAATCACAACTAACAAGAATATTCCTGCGATGAAAACAATAATCCCAATCACTTCAGCTAAGCTAATGTTCCAAGATGTTGAAACATATTTGTTAAGAACAATGTCTGTGCAGTGTTTTCCTCCAAATCCACGGCTACAATTGCAGTGATATGAACCATAAGTATTCTCACAAAGGGCACCATTAAGACATGGGTTTTCTATGCATTCATCAACATCACTCAGGCACCTACCAGAAACAGAGCAGAGAAATGGTGGTTAGTTTACATCAGTAGTCTTTGTTGTAGTCTCCTTGTTCTCAACAATTCTAGATATATTTAATATACAGTACTGTACACTAGCAGGCAATTTTCTATTTTATCAATATTCCAGATTTCAACCAGTTTGAACTAGTTTAACTCAGGTTTGAACTGAGTTAAGTAATACTGTTAAAAATTCAATGTATGTGGAACACTACCTACCTTTCTCCACGAAAGCCTGCTTCACACTCACAAACAGGTCCATCCAAACTGTCAATACACTTGCCACTGTTTTTACAAGGATTGTCTTTGCAATATGGACCCAGCTGGCACCTGCAAAGGCAAAAAAAAAAGCATGCAACAGGAAGCATGAATGAAGGTAATGACCTTACTACAAGTGAGTATATAGTGTGGGATTCAGGGCTGTAACATAGGGGCTGGCATTATCTTCAACCAACTCTAGTGGGTTTCAAAGTCTGAGCTTTAAGTAGGAAACAGACAAAAAAAGAAAACAGAAAACGTGTTACATTTATAGCCTGTTCTTTAAGGGGTTTATTGGTACAATAAACCACACAAACATACCTTTGGCCTGTGTATTGTCCTCGGCACTGGCAGATAAAATCATCACTGACCGGGATGCAAGTACCACCATAAAGGCAAGGGTTGGAAGCACATGGGTTGACACTTACATCACAGTGAGTTCCCATAAACAAAGGTGCACACTTGCAGTAGTAACCTGAAATCAAATACAGTCTTTTTGAAAGACACACATGACTTTACTGGATTTAAGATAAAATCCTCCCTTCCCACCTATGGATTTAAGATAAAATCCTTCCTGCCCATGTACCTGTTTGAAGAGAGAGAGGATGAGAAGAAACAGAAATATTTTTATCGAAAGATGAAGGAAAGTCCAACAGTAAGGCTTTTCTTGAATATGATTGAAGGATAACTTCCATTTCTCTCACAAAACTCAAGCTTGTCACAATGATTTCAGAATTTTTAAAGGAAGACTCTAAAGTAGGCAGTTAAGAGGATGGACCTCAGGTATTGACACTAAAGATTAAATCCCCACTTTGTCTGATGGACTCCATCTACTTCATACCCCAAGGAATTGAGTCTAGAACACAGGCAGATGCAGCCTTCCTACCTGCTCAACAACCAGCCTTCTATAACTCTCTGGGAAAGCAAGAATTATTCACAAAGTTGTTTTGTCCTTCAAGGCAGGGAAGTGGAAAAGCAGTTTTGAAAACTCACAACAGAAGAATATAGTGCAGCTTACCTCCATTTGACAGAGCATTGCAGATGCCTCCATTCTGACATGGGCTGCTTGAACAACCTTCTGTGGTAGTCAGCAAGCATCCAGGAGTCACATCTACAGATTCTTCCATGTGTGCATAATTTCGTGGCTTACTGTTTAGGGGCAGCTCTTGCCCATTAAGTACAATAGAATCCATACAGCCTCTGAAACCATTGCTAACCTGAGGACTTCTACCATGTCTTGTACCTTGCTGCCGAATATGACCACCAAAAAACACATGATTATCTAGGTTTAGTGTCCTGAGTGTACCAGGAGCAGTACCAGACGCAGTATGCACCCTATCCAGAACAAGTCGTGCGTAATTTCCATCCACTTCAAGAGATACTGAATGCCACTGGCCATCATTAATCTGAATGCTCTGAACGGAGACAATCCCGGGTCCACTGCCACAATCAAATTTATATTGCAGCCTTCCATGGTGAATCTACAGAGAAAAGCCACAACATCAACAAATGGTCTGCACACTTAAAAGAGTATAAAATATTGATGCCTATGAAAGTTTATGTTTGCTGGAGAGCCAGGATTATGGTGGTGTTCATAAAAGGCAGTTTAATAATATGGTATTCCAAACAGTCACAGTGATTGTGATTCATTCTATATGGTTCTTTTAATTAAAATGTATACTTTGACTTCTTTACTAGAGGAAAAAAATGTACACAGATCATCATCAAAAGATTACAATACTTCAAGACCTTTCATCTTGTGCTTTAAGAGACTTTTTCTGTATGGACTTAATGAGTATTATAAGCAAAAAAATTTAAAGTTCTTATTTAAAATAGATAATGCAGGGTTTTTTTGTTTTATTTTTAAAACATTTAAAGAAAACTAATTCCTTTTACCCATTAAAAAAATTCCATACAAGTTTGTCACCTGGACGTAGAACACACTCTACCTTGAAGGTAATTCTCAATTATAACAATTCTACAGAGATGTTATGATTCAATCTTTTAATTTGGCACAAAAAAATAGTAACAGGATGGTAAGAAGAAAAGAAGAGGAGATATGCACTAGGAGATTTTAATATACCTCTAAGATACTGTAGTCTGTTCCTCGGGCATACATAACAACTGCATGAGCAGAGTAAGTTCTGAGTCTCATTGTCAGCTTCATTTCCTCTTTGTTCTCATTCTCCATGAGACGGTATTTCACGTAGCTGCTCCCAGTAAATGTCACAGCAGAGCCAGCTGATGCTTAGGAATACAGAAAAGCATAAAATGTGTTAACACAGGACTGGAATCAAATTTATATTTGGAAAGTAATATGGTTTTATGCAGAGATCTTGAGAGTTACTTTCTTACCAGGACACTGTCCAGCTTTGCTGTCTTGGCAAACACAGGTGTATTTTCCTTCCTTTGGATCTCCTAAACATTCGGTACCTTCAGGGCATGGGTTTCCTTCACACACATTATTCACCAGGGGGCATTTCCCTTCTGTAAAACGAAATACATTATTTCTCTTCTGTTGGTGGTAACGGTATTTTGTGAAAAGCGACACTTAAGTACTGTAGTTGAAAGCAACCCAAATGATATTCCTAACTATCAGACAAGGAAGTGAAGTAACAGTTATGGGACATGACTGGCACAAACACAGACTAGTCAAATGGCATATATAGTGGCTGATGTTCATAGTTATCTTGATTACTCCAACAATTCAATTGGTAAAATTTGAAAACTGGTGTTGTGGTTTAAGGTTTACCATTAATATCATACACCATAAAAACCAACATGTAGATATTAAACATGGACAGAGCGGGTTGGGGAGAGCAGGAGAAGAGTGTGTCTATATTTGAGACAGAAAAGGAATGGGCTTTAAATATTGACTTAAGATGTGCAAGGTCACCCAGCAATGTTAAGTCATGATTTTAAAAAGCAATGTTATTTTCCTCAGAGCTAAAGACAAATTAATCTTCTGTTATAAATCTGTACACTTATATGTATTCTGTCATTCCCAGCCAGGTTGGAAGCTGTGTGGGCTATTCCTCTAAGCAGAAAACAGGAAGTATTCAGGTACTTCACAAGAAGTTTTGTGCATACAAGACTGAAAATGGCTGGCAATTTAGAACAGGCAACAAAAAAAGGAACTTCTTTCATAAATGGAAAATGAAAGTGTAACTACCAAAAAAAAAAAAAATCCCCTCTCATAAGCTTGTATTATGTAAACTCTTAAAATGAGGTAATGAGACAAGAAAGAATTACTCCTTACTCTGAATAAAATTAGGCAAATGTTGCAGTGAGGATTACAGGACATTCTTAATCTTGTCCTGTGATATAAATTTTTCCCTGTGGATTATGGCTGTTCAAAACCAGAACAGTCTTTTCAAGGATACTGTTTTCCTTACTGCTTTTCTTACCTTTACAAAGACAAACTGCTGTTCTGTGATGACGGGGAGTGACAAAACTCAACCTGGCTGTGCTGTGGGTTGACATGATGTTCTCATCCACTGTAACTTTTTCTTCACAAAATTTCAAAGGACAATCTAGGCCTGCACAAAGCTTATGGAAAACATCGATTATTCGGACACCTAAAATCTCCTCTAGGTCAGGCACCGAAGAGTTTATCTTGTGGAGCAAAATTCTCATTGGGTGCTGAGAGCTACCAGACTTTTCAATATTCAGGAGGACATCAAGATTTGAAGAGGGATCAGAAGGCTGCAGACTAACAATCTGGATGTCATTTCTCCGCACACCCAAGATGTTTCTTAAAGCTCTCTGGAAATTGCGCCAGTAATCACCGATGAATTCTTCAGGGGCAAGGTTTGCAAAGCGTATTGCAATACTGTGATTTAGTAAATCTTGTGTGATTTGTCTGATGTGTACAGTAATATCAGCTGCAGTTGTAAATTTTCCATCTGTAACAGTGACATTTAGGAGGTACTGTCCTACGTCTAACCTTTTATGTGCTATTAGTTTGCCACCAGTACTCGAAACAGAGAATAAGGATTCCATTTTGGGGTCCAGACTGTATGTCAAAGTATCATAAACATCTTGATCGGTTGCATGAATTTTTCCAATGACACCACCTGAATATTCTTCCCCAAAGGCTGTGATAAAGATTTCTAGAGGCAGAATTGCTGGAGAATAAATGCTTTCCTCAATAACTCTAATATCAATGTAAGTCAAAGATGACAACGGTGGTTTTCCATTATCTGCCACCTAAAAGAAGATGAGGACAGAGTTAGATTTTTGCTTTATCTCTAATTCTACTGTAGATATTTGTACTGTATATAGTAGAGTTGTATTTTTCTACAAAAAAAAAAAACTCCTACAGGAAAATGCTTTAGGAAAGTTCCATAACACAGGTCCTGACATAAAAGTTAATATTGAAAATTTGAAAAGGTTACATAAGCAGGTGCATGTTTTCAATTCTTCCAGGATTAAAAGGCTACAGTGCTCTTAATACCTGGAAATGCGAGGAAGCTACTAACACTTCTAGCAAATACAGAGGAAATGCACAGTAGCTGGATTCAGACAGCAGATGGTGCTTGAAGCTTTTTTATTTCAAGCATGGAAATGCATTACAAACTTAAAATGAGTCATACACTAGAAATTTACAACATGCTTCACCACAGTTATTAGGAGGTGGTCTTGAAGACAATCTAAACACAATATGCCAAACAGTACTTCAGGAAAACAATACATGTAGAAAGTTACAATTAATTATGTTGTCTTTCATGATTTGTGATCATGGAGAGGAAAAAAACCCTACCTGTAGTGACATTTGCTTCAGATGATTAAAGTAATTAATAAAATCAGCCTAATTCAATTTTAAAGCCTTTTTAAACATCATGTCCCCGGTCCTCCACCCTTTTTTGTGAAAAGCATACACTGTTGTGCGAAGAGGGGACAAAAGTAGAGTAGAAAAGAGAGTAAAGAGCATTCCCTTGGGTTCACTTTCCTTCTATTTCTCAGTTCTTGTTTCCCACCTACCTTCTTCCCAGAGCTCTTTCCCAGTTACTGAAAGTGAGTCTAAAGAAACGGGCAAAGAAGAATTGGAGAGATGTGAAGGGACAGAGGGGATACACAGGGCTCAGAAGGTAGAAGATATCCTGCATTGTTCAAAAGATTTTACAATAATTTTACAATGACTACAGGTAGTTGGTACACTTTGAAGATCTACGCAGAGAAGCCGCTTTTGATTTTTCATACAAATTTAAGCAAAAGAGGAAAACTCCAGGCATCAGATTATCTGTGGATGTGCACATAATCGTAGCATTTTTAAAAGGTAATGCATGCCTCATAGAACTACATGCCTTCATCCGTTAACTCCAAAAGACAAGCATGGCTAGAAACTTGCCCTCTAGTTACCCAAACATAAATAACCAGAGAGAGAGCGAGCTCAAGTTGGCAGAGTTTTGTTTTGCCTAGATTTCTGCCTGGAAACAAGACAAGGCAGGCAGTTTAGCTACAGGAGAAATGCCCAAGGGAAACAAGAAAGGGCTTAAAACAAACAGGCAAGCAAAATTGTAACAAATGGACAGCAAATAGGAAAGAGGAGCCCCAGGAGAAATGATTTTTCAATAGTACAGATATTTAAAAATCAGCTGTGGTTTTAAACTAGAGACTTCAGAGTGTGGCACAAAGGACTATGACTCATAGCTGAAGATTTCACACACTAATGCTGTGAGACATTTGCTAATGGATAATCTATTTCCTTTGGAGAGAGGGAAAGCAAATGTGAGTGGCATGCACATGTAGGTGGCTGCTTGGGGCGGGGGGGTGGAAATCCCTATTTCTATTAAAACCCCAAAGTAAAGTAAAAGAAAGGCTCATGTTAGGTAAAGTTTTTTGGTGGTAGTGGGTATGTGGGGTGTGTATGGGAGGGCTTGTTTGTGGGTTTTGGGGTGTTCTTTTTTTTCCCCCCAATTAAAGTATGCCTGTAACACAAGAAGACCTCTGCCTCAGCAATCCGTTCAGAAAGCAACTAGGGTGAAAGCTGTCACTACTGAAAAGCACACCAGTGAAGGACAGTTAAAAAACGAAAGCAAGTATCAAGAGATCATACACAGTCATTAACTTGCGAGCTGCAAGACTTAAGTGCAGAAGTTAAAGATAGTGTAAACTTGAGAAGACGACTTCCTACAGCCTTTGGAAAAAAAAAAAAATCTTTCTTTTAAATGAACAGGGGAAGAATATTTTTCCACAAAAGTCATGTATCTATTTTTGTGTGTATCATTGGAACTGAAGTCTTGTGATATGGAAATGCTAGTTTTAGTCTTAGATGCCTTCATACTCATGTACAGTGACTCACTAAGGAGAAGATAATAGCAAATTATAGCGGTGTGTCTATTTAAAACAAGCTATCATAGTATAAGATGATAAATGGCTATTAAAAGACAGTGACATATTTCCAGAATCCAGGCAGGGAACTTGTAAATCAAGGGATTAGACAAGTCCAAAACACTGAGATTGGGTAGTACAGCACACAAAAAAATGCACATTAGTATAGTCTACTTTAATGATTTATAATCTCTGAGAAGCCTTTGCTCTAAAGGAGTGCATTTATTTTAAGACACCAGTTTAGCTACTGGATGCCATTAAAATAGCCCTTATTCATTCCCTAGAAAAAAGGCACTTTTCAAGTGCTGTGCTAAAGAGAAGATAGCTGAAGTACTGACAGGCTGTTTACAAGCATCCTACAGCCTAGGAAGTGGCTTGGAAATGAACGAATTGCATGATTCTGCCCAGAGGAAGGTGTTAGACAGGCACCTCATACTTAAGAAAAGGCAGGCACATCAGGAAGGGCCAAAGGTGCAGCTAAATCATGAAATGTGACAAAAGACAATGTAACAGTCTACACAGAATAGACATAATTGCCTGTGTGTCCATTCATAGGAGTATGTTTTAGAAGCAAAATAAATAGAAATTAGTTACTGCTTAGAGAAAATATAAAACAAAACATATGACTCTTGTATTACACTGATTGCACATATAGAAAAAAAAACACTGCTGTTTCTTCTTCCCTAAACAAAGAGGTGATTTTGGGGAATCTGTATAGAGAACTTGGAAAGCCTATTAGACAAGTGTGACAAAGCCCAGCTCTACTGCTGTTTCAGACTCATGCAGCCTAGAAAGGCCAACAGAGCCATCACTTAGGTACCCTGAAGGCTAATCTGTCCCACCACTCATTAGCAGATCACTACTGAGAAAAAAAAAATGGCTAACAGAGGAATGATATACCTCCCTGCCCCCTTCCTAATCTCAATTCTTAAACCCTAAACTAACTACATTAAACAGAACCTTTACCTATGCTGGTTCTTATACTGATGGCTCCTGATAACATTTTTTAGTGACTCAACTGGCAAATGACAGTACCTGTAGGAATTTTTTTTCCTTCCCCAAAGAAAAGAGATAGACTTTGTGTAAATATGCCACAATTATTATCCCAATGTGGACAGAATTCAGTACACACTGATGCAGACAGTACTACTCAAACCCTGCAAGTGCATGTTTACTCAGAAATTGTCTGCAATATTACGTATGAGAGTAATTTGCAGATTGAAAGAAATTGCTCGTGTAAAAAGAAAAGGAAGAATTTTTCTTAACACATGAATCTGGAAATGAAGTATAAGAATTAAGGCCAGCTATTTTTAGCCTACCAATTTTAAGCCCCCTGTTCACAGCTGCTTAATTTATAACTGAATTAAAAAGGACTGGATAAGATTAAAAAAATTGGTTTGAACTTTTGTTACATTAGGCTACAAAAAGTATTTCAGAGAACTTAGCTATGTTAATGTAACCTGGATTTTTGGACATGGTCTGGTCTTTTTGCACAACAGTGACAAATGTAGGCATATATCATAGCATTTCAGGGTCACTTTTGAGTTTTATGCCGTGTTTTCCACTGCCAGATTCTGAGATCTCCGAGTACTGTGCTGCAAGTTTCAATGCTACGACAAAGGTCCACTGACCTGGTTTTCCAAACTTAAAAAAAAGATATTTTCAATTGCCATTGGAAAAAGAATGTGGCACTGTAGAAAAATACTTCGGTACTGCCATGATGTGTGACTTTCAATATCCCTGTTTCCATTGTATCAGCATAGTCCAGCTCACAGCTTCAAGGGTCAAAGCGATAGTGGCAAGAGGAAGTCTGCAGCCAATAGCAGGTGGCTCAAGGGACCTGTCCCCTGCTGGCTTTTCCAGCATCTCACATGAAAGGCAAAGGGCTTACCAAGACCACTCACCCAGTTAACATTTCATTTACACCTTACCCTTACCATGAGTTTAATTCAGCTTACTATTACACCTGTGTAGATTTCCATTTAAATCAACAGACATTGTCTCTGAAGGGACATGCCTCAGAATGACTTCTTGGCATGTCAGGATCTTGTAACACAAAGACAAGGGGTAGGCAGGAAAAAGCAGCGGATTGGGCATCAGTAGGAAAAGTACCTAAACATGTATAACACAAAACAGCTAGAAGTAGCACATCCTACCTTAACATGAAGTAAATAGTGATCCCTCACTTTGCGATTCAGTGCAGCAGCTGTTGTCAGTACTCCCTGCTGGTTAATCTGAAAAGTGTTCTCTTCATTTCCACTCAGGATGGTGAAGAGAAAAGGAGGGCCATTGTGAGAAGAATCCTTGTCTGTCACCACTAGCTGTAGCACACTAAATCCAATAGGCTTATTTTCCTATAAATGCATAATACAATCACATTGGTTTTGTTATAATTGAAGAAATAGCCTAACGTTGATTTCTTTTTCACAACAGAAAAGAAAAAAAAAATGAATTACAGTCAAACCAGTTATTCAGTATAAGAGAAATCAGAATGACAATATTGTTTAAGGAAAAATACTACCCTCTGAGAATAACAATGAAAACAGTAAAAGCAGAAAGGCAGTACATTTTTAAACTTTATTTTTTTTAAATTTGTCATATATTTTAAAAAGTAGCTCAGCCGTGAAACTTTACATTTTCCACTTTTGGTGGAATTAAGATTACTGTAGATTAATTATCAAGTCATCAAAGATTTCAAATTTAGCTAAAACACCTGTTAAGAATAATCCAATGCCTTTGTTGGGAGGACTAGAAAAACACACTCCTCCATCTGACCCCTTGTGTCCCTAATTAGTGTTCTGACTACAGTTGTGGCTGCTACAGCTGCAGTCCAGTTAAAATATGAAATCCAGGTTTTAAAATTTGCATCAAAAAATCTCTTCAAGTTTGCATCAAGTGGATGCCTGAGGTTTCAGACACTTCACACACTTTGGTTTATCATGTATCTGATACACACACACAACCTTATCTAACACTTGTAACATCTCTCCTAGAATATTCGTGCTATACTGTATTGACCAGATTTTTTATATATATACACACATATTTTTAAATGCAAAAAAAAAGTAGAAGCATTATTGTGAAGTACAACAGTAACAAAATGTTATCCTTTCACAGTTGCAAAAACCCCTAATAACAAGCATGCTCTTTGTTCTTGAGAGAGTAAGTCAAATTAATTATCAGATATTGCAGCTGAAGCTTTTTTCCCTTCAGCAAAACAGACAAGGGCCATCATTTTAAAATACAAATATTTGCATTTGGACATCTAAAGTGATTTGATTTTCGTAATAGCTAAGCAATTTCCAACTGTGTCCAAATATGTCCATCTCCAATATACCAGGAAATGCACACCAGCATTCTTTGGCAACTCCTCCAGCTCTTTCTCTGCCACCCTCATACTGGGACAGCCTGATACAAATGAACTATAAAACACAAGGTCTTCCTTTTTAATTGAGTAAGAGAACCATTACAGACGTTGGCTATATAATCTACAGTTTTAGGGGATACATTAATTAACATTCACTTCAAGAAAGATTGTAATTAGGGAAAGCAAAATACCTCTGACAGCAAACAAACACACAAATCTGTTGTTTTTAAAAAAAAAAAAAAGTAAGACCCAGGCCATCTTACTTGCATACTCTGTATATGTTGGGTAGTGATGAATCACTTTGTCCTCTTTCGGAAAGCTACCTTTACAAGTGATGTACATGGTCTCAGACAGAAGTGGTATGTTAGGATGGCACAGCACGCCAGATAACATTGCCTGATCCCCACTTATCTATTGTACAACGCCAGGCACCAGCAACAGCAGAAGGACCCAAGGGATTGAGCTCACTTATGTTACTAGTATAAAGGTCTTAATGCAATTCCTTTGTTCCCTTCCATTTATTCTCTATTGGATTCAGGAAGACAAGTACTGATGCTGCCTCAGCTATCTTTGCTTTAGCAGAGAGTTTGCTGAATCAGGCAAGTACATGCCAGCTATTTGAGGATCTGGCCCACTACTACCATCCTAAGGTGCAAAATTAGTCAAAGGACTGGTACGTAGTAACACAAAATATTACTGTGTTAACTGCTTCTGATGCCAGAGGAGGCCAATAGGAATTAAGTCTTGGACTGTGCGCCACAGTGCAAAATGCTTGCTTCACAGTAATAGGTACCTAAAGTATCTTTTTCTAAGCAGTAACTCAAACATTAAAAAGAAATAGCAAAATTATTATGTATTTCAACTGATCTGTATGATGCCAAGAACATTCTAAACATAAATGCAATGTATATGTATACATGCACACAGACGAAGTACATGAAAAAAGAGCACACTAATTTTGCAATGTAAGTTTCTAAATAGACTGCACAACATGAATTTTGTAACCCTTAACATTTACTCAGGTAAGCAGTCTCACTGACAATCTTAAATAATTAAAAATACAGAGAAACAAAATTGAAGCATTAGGTTTATCATATCTTGCAGAATTTTTCACATCATAAATTAACACTCCAATAATATTATTGATTTGACTGCTTCACTATCTGTACTTACCTGGATGATAACACTATAGTTCCCTTTTGAGAATACTGGAGGATTGTCATTTACATCAGAAACATCAATATTAACTGTGGTTGTGTTAAGTCTAGGTGGGTTTCCATTATCTTTAGCTTGAACTGTCAAGGTATATCCTGAAATCTAAGAAATAATAAAAAAAAAATTCAAACATTCACTAAAGAGCAAAGAGTAACAAACTCGGCTTTCCTTTTAAGGAAGAAATATTTTAGTGCCACCCCCCCCAGTAAAACTTGCCTTCATATATTTAATCCTTTCTCTTCCCCCCACAGATGCCCCCCACCCTGAAAAGCATGGATATAAATAGATGCTTTCACTTTGTTACAGCTGTATTAATTTTGGAACACCTGAAATGGTAATTTACAAACATAATCCAAAAAATGGTGGTCATCAATTATGTATAGGTACATTAATCCCAACTGCTCAAAAAGCATCAAAAACTTACCTTTTCTCTGTCTAGAAGTTTAGTCACCTTTATTTCACCCCTGGTAGGATCAATTGTAAAAGGATTTCCCTGATTGCCCTCTATAATTGCGTAGTGAATGCGATTGTTTGAAGGTCCATCAGCATCATCTGCCATAACCTAAGGGACATTACAGTCTCATTTAAAACAGGTCAAAATAGACTCTATCATCTTTCAGATAAACTCATCCTGAAGACGAGCACAGCTGTTTTGGTCTAACACATTTCACAGTTCTCAGGAGAAATGTCATCTGAATAGAACATACTAACATCATTTATTTTCCTGAATTTCTTCTGAAAATTAAGTCATGTTCTCATGAGGAGAACCCAAATATATCACAAAATATCATCTACTTTCGCATAGCATCTCAAGTCCCTGCTTCTGAAACTTTTTCAAAATAAATTTTCAGTTCACTCAGTGGCAAACATATCTATTATTTATGTCCACCTTCAAATCAATATTTATTCCTTCAAGACTAAAAGCATGATTGTTATGACAGTAGTGCAAAGGAAAAAAAACAACAATACGTACTGTAATGACTGATTGTTCAAGCATAGCATCTTCACTGATTACTGCAGTGTAAGTGTCTTGGCTAAACACTGGAGTATTGTCATTGATATCTGTTACGTTAATATTCACAGTTACAACATCACTTAATGAAGGTGTGCCTCCATCTGTGGCTTCCACTGTCAAGTAGTACTCATGAGAACTTTCATAATCCAAGCTCTCAATGATAAAAATGGCTCCTAAGGGGGAAGAAGAAAAAAAACAAACCAAAACCCTCACACAAACTCTGCTATTACTGTAGCATTATATATTGCAACTTTTGATTTTAGTCTGACAAATACTCAGCTTCTCCAGGGCTGAGTACAGCTGGAGTGTAGCTGGAGCTACACAGTGAAATGATCAGGCTTTACACATAAAAGTAAAAAGGTGAGAAGTTTCTGCTGTTACCAGAAAAGACTCATACTTTAAAACCACCTGGCTCACATTCTGTAATGAAAAATATGAAGAAAAATAAAAAATGTGTTTAGAAAATGTCCTTTTCTTAATTTTCAATTAAAATTAACCAAAAATATGAAATGACCTTTAATGTGACTTTCCTTGCAACCAGCATTAAGGCCACGCATGGAGCGTGCAGGGGTAGTAACAGAAGTATCCAGCCATGAATTTTGATTGATGGAAGTATCTGAGTTAAAGTGTGCATTTTTAACTGCCTAGTTAAGATAGTGCAGTCCCTAACATACACGCTGATTTGCTGCTGGAAGAGTATTTTCCTGGAACCTTCTTCCTCCTTTCAAATATGTGAAGAAGTTCAACTGGCAATGTACTTCTATACTATAGTACCAGCATGCACACTGGAAAAGCAGCTGGAAGACTTGTAGTTGCAATTACACTGGTATAATTAACTACTATTAACTTCTGGGTAGAAATCTTATTTAAAACCAAAAACTTTACCAGAAATTAACTCTAGAAAAAGAACGATATAAGAAAACAAAACTCGAATTGACGTGTATATTGATTTTTGACAAAAGAATTGTCATTGGTAGGGAAAAATTCTCCACAGAACCTAAATGCTCCTGAGACTAAATCTGACTAACACGCAAGCCTAAAATCTCCACTGTCATGCTGGATACATGATTGAACAAAATATTCCAATCTCTCTTTAATGCCATATCAAACTCCTTTAAAATTACTGTCTTTGTGGACCAATGAGTAGTTTTCCCAAACAGTTTAATTTCTGATCTTTCTGTTACCAAGTCTGGTCACTCATTCCGATTATATAGCTTTTGTGAAAAGACTATTATGCTTCTATCATTACAGAACTATGTCTTTCCACCCGCTCTGCTCCCAGGGTGGGGAATATTCCAGCTAGGAAACCCTTACTCTTGGCAGCTAAATGAATCTAACACAAATAACAATAAATAGCAGCAACAAATAAAGTTCCTTTTCTACATTCTACTGCACTCCTATAGTAAGCATGCTGGCAAAATGGGTGAACAGACAGTAGCACTGGCTTTACAGCAAGGATGATGCACATAGATTATACATAACCTGTTTGGTTGAATTACTGTAGAACACAGTATAGCACTGTGCTTGGTTAGCCTGAAGTATATTCAAAGTTGTAATCTGTTACCTGTTGTTGAATCGATGCTGAATTTTCCATGTTCATTCCCACTGACTATTGAGTATGTGATTTCAGCATTGGCTTCAATGTCCCTGCTTGCAGCATAGATCTGGAGAACTTCAGTTCCAACCAAAATGTCCTCTGACACACTTGCACTATATTCCCTGTGCTCAAATACAGGTGGATTATCATTTATATCCAAAACAGAAACTATAAGACTACTTGTTGAAGACAGTCTTCTAGGTAAACCTTCATCTGTAGCCTTCAAAATTAGAGTGTACACAGCTTGTAATTCCCGATCCAAGGGCTTCTCCAGCCGAATGATTCCAGAGAATTCATCAACGGAGAACTGGCCCTCTGCAGAGTTCACCAGTGAATAATGGATTTTATGGTTCATCCCTGCATTTTGAAAACAATTGCAGAGTATGAAGCAGCTGTTAAAATACACCAACATAATAACAGACCTGACAGCTACAGAAATAAAACATGCATGCTAAATATTATCATTCACGTTAAAGTAAATTTCAGTGAGAGTTAAAGGCTGCGCTGTGAAGGGCAGAATGATTTCCAAGAAGATGTAATCTGATTTAAAAAATTAAGCTAACACTTCAGTGCACCGATTTTCTGCCACACAAAAAACGTGAAGCATGGTTCTGCTTCAGTCACAGTACTAGCTAATATGAAACAATTAGTAATATAAATCTAATTATAACTTCAGTACAACAGCATCTGCTTAGCAGGCTTATAAATAATACAGGAGGATATAGGAGAGTTAGGTTGCATCAAATAACTAGACCCAATTCCAGTAAGTTTATTTAAGAACCATGTCCCAGAATTAACAGGAACATGATTTCTGGCAACATTTCTGTATAAAACAGACAAACAAAAACCCCACAGGTTTTTGGGCCAAGCATTTTATTTCTCCTGAGCCTCAAAGACTAGTGAGGTGTGAAAACATCTGTCTGTTACCTTCCAGTTCAGCAACCTAGCTTTATCATAGCACAAAGCAGGTTGGTTGTTTCACAAGACTGAGACAACTATTAATTAATATTATTTGATTAATAAACTCATGATATATAGAAATCATACGTCTTTAAAAAGACCTTATGCTGTTATACTCCTTACAAGGAAGCCTAACAACAAACTCTTTCTAATGTCATTTTCAGTTCATGTTCACTTAAATACTTGTAGCTAAACAGTGAAGATAGATAGAGAGGTGGCAAAAATCTTAATAGGGTATCATATACATAAAGCTATAATTGACCAGGGTTCTCTTCATGGTATGATCATCAATGCCTAGCCTGAGAAGCACACATTCAAATCTATGAATGCACATTTACACGAACAGACATGGCTTGATACTCCTTTTACTTACACCAGGAGTAAAAGCATGGACCTAACCCATCATAACATTAATAGCTTATCACACTAAAAATACCCTGTATTTTGTCTCTTTCCCCTCTCTTCTTTTTTGCAGAGACACAAAAAGCATGTTTTCCAAGCTACTCACACACATGAAAGTCAGGTGTTACATGATTTAGTAGCCCTAAATACATCTTTCAGGAGTCTAATCTTGAGAGGTATTGAACATCTGTCAGTTCCACTGAAAGACTTAACACCTCTCAGGATAAGACTAAATAAACATTACTGTAACTTTGAGACCATGACAAAAGTATCGGTCAAAGAACGCATACCTGCATCTGCGTCTGTTGCCTGCACTCTTGTCAAAAGGGTTTTAGGCTCTGTGTTTTCAAATACTGTAATGGAGTAAGGATCAGCTGTAAACTCTGGGGCATTATCATTCACATCTTCCAGCGTCAGAATAATATTAGCTTGGCAGAATCTTCCTCCTCCATCTGTGGCTTTCACTAGAAGGTAATAAACTGCTTGCTGCTCACGATCAAGAGGCATTAATGTTTTCAGTTCACCTATAAACAGAATAACATACGTAAGTTGATGTGAGTTACAAGACTTAAGTATCCCTAACATGTTTTCCTCTAAAATCTCTGTACTCAGAAAAAATAACCAACAATTTTCTTTTTGATGGTAATTTCATCAGTGGCTAAGTCAACAGCTGTACTGCACTAATGAGCTCCACCTTGGGCAAAGCGTGTCAGTGGCTTGCCTTTCCAGCTTTAAGAGATTAAATACTAAAATCCTCTGCCTTTTTTCAAATCCCTCTGAAACAGAAATTAGCTAAAGTAAGACTACCTGATGGCGCAGAAAGAGAGAGAGTGTGTATACATGCATGAATCCATGTGTTTTTGTGTAAAGAAAATGAAAATATTAGAACTCTAGCTTTAACTAAATGCAAAGTAAAATCCATGAATGGCTTTCCTGGGCTATGTAGTTAGTGTTCCTTCCACAGCTATTGAACTGACTCTCCTCCTCTAACACTCAATGAATAAACAGAGCTATTCACACTATCAAATGTAACTTGCTGCTACAGACAAACCTCTAGACATCTAACACATTTTCTTTCCAGTGTGACAGAAAACACTATGACAAGCACAATGTGTAGCCATTGTCCCCTTTTAGCCAATTCAAAAAAGTATTCTGAAATATTGTTTATGAGTATTCTAGCCCTGCCAATTCTGAATTTATGTAATGACATACTAGTACAACACACAGGTGACATTCAAAGTCAAAAAAACCCCATAAAGTAAGGTCCTTCTCATTTATTTTGCCACCTACGTATTCTAATCTCCTCCATATTTCCACCATATCTTTGCATTTATCTTATTTAAATTTTTCTACATTGTTTACTACTCCCTTCTTACTGCTTGTCTACTGCAGCCTGCAGAGCACAGGATTTTGGCGTTAGCTTTGGCCTATATTATAATCCAGAACACACGAATGCTGTGAAAACCAAGGTCAGGCAAGTTAAAAGTTAATCTCATTTATATAATGCTGCCAATAAAACTGGAGTCACTTTTGGTGTTTACTATGGAAAAGAAATTTGTTGCTCCATCTAACCTCAGTCCATTTAATATGCCAAACCAAACGATGGCAAAGAGAATCTGAATGAAGATATTTTCACTTTATACACCATTATTGCTACCACTGCTACAATGAATATAAAAAGTACAAAATTTATAGCATACTTTACTCCAGTCACTTCAGCATGGAAGTTTCTGGCTTTGGGGCAATTACCCTGTTTACTCTTTAGTTCCTCATAGTAAAATACTTGCCTTTTCCCTGACTTCTATTCAATATATTGTTAGTATTTGTGTAGTAGAAACTCTCATTTTAAACAGTTATATAATAAACTAATGGAAATATATAATATAGTTATATATA